AAGTGATGCAGGCGTAGAAGTGATGCATGTGTAGAAGTGATGCATGCGTAGAAGTGATGCATGCGTAGAAGTGATGCATGCGTAGAAGTGATGCATGCGTAGAAGTGATGCATGCGTAGAAGTGATGCAGGCGTAGAAGTGATGCATGCGTAGAAGTGATGCAGGCGTAGAAGTGATGCAGGCGTAGAAGTGATGCAGGCGTAGAAGTGATGCAGGCGTAGAAGTGATGCAGGCGTAGAAGTGATGCAGGCGTAGAAGTGATGCATGCGTAGAAGTGATGCATGCGTAGAAGTGATGCATGCGTAGAAGTGATGCATGCGTAGAAGTGATGCATGCGTAGAAGTGATGCATGCGTAGAAGTGATGCATGCGTAGAAGTGATGCAGGCGTAGAAGTGATGCATGCGTAGAAGTGATGCAGGCGTAGAAGTGATGCAGGCGTAGAAGTGATGCAGGCGTAGAAGTGATGCAGGCTTAGAAGTGATGCAGGCGTAGAAGTGATGCAGGCGTAGAAGTGATGCAGGCGTAGAAGTGATGCAGGCGTAGAAGTGATGCAGGCGTAGAAGTGATGCAGGCGTAGAAGTGATGCATGCGTAGAAGTGATGCAGGCGTAGAAGTGATGCAGGCGTAGAAGTGATGCAGGCGTAGAAGTGATGCAGGCGTAGAAGTGATGCAGGCGTAGAAGTGATGCAGGCGTAGAAGTGATGCAGGCGTAGAAGTGATGCATGCGTAGAAGTGATGCATGCGTAGAAGTGATGCAGGCGTAGAAGTGATGCAGGCGTAGAAGTGATGCAGGCGTAGAAGTGATGCATGTGTAGAAGTGATGCAGGCGTAGAAGTGATGCAGGCGTAGAAGTGATGCAGGCGTAGAAGTGATGCATGTGTAGAAGTGATGCATGCGTAGAAGTGATGCAGGCGTAGAAGTGATGCAGGCGTAGAAGTGATGCATGCGTAGAAGTGATGCAGGCGTAGAAGTGATGCAGGCGTAGAAGTGATGCAGGCGTAGAAGTGATGCATGGGTAGAAGTGATGCAGGCGTAGAAGTGATGCAGGCGTAGAAGTGATGCAGGCGTAGAAGTGATGCATGCGTAGAAGTGATGCATGCGTAGAAGTGATGCAGGCGTAGAAGTGATGCAGGCGTAGAAGTGATGCAGGCGTAGAAGTGATGCATGTGTAGAAGTGATGCAGGCGTAGAAGTGATGCAGGCGTAGAAGTGATGCAGGCGTAGAAGTGATGCATGTGTAGAAGTGATGCATGCGTAGAAGTGATGCATGCGTAGAAGTGATGCATGCGTAGAAGTGATGCATGCGTAGAAGTGATGCATGCGTAGAAGTGATGCAGGCGTAGAAGTGATGCAGGCGTAGAAGTGCTGCATGTGTAGAAGTGATGCAGGCGTAGAAGTGATGCAGGCGTAGAAGTGATGCATGTGTAGAAGTGATGCAGGCGTAGAAGTGATGCAGGCGTAGAAGTGATGCAGGCGTAGAAGTGATGCATGTGTAGAAGTGATGCATGCGTAGAAGTGATGCATGCGTAGAAGTGATGCATGCGTAGAAGTGATGCATGCATAGAAGTGATGCATGCGTAGAAGTGATGCATGCGTAGAAGTGATGCATGCGTAGAAGTGATGCATGCGTAGAAGTGATGCAGGCGTAGAAGTGATGCAGGCGTAGAAGTGATGCAGGCGTAGAAGTGATGCAGGCGTAGAAGTGATGCAGGCGTAGAAGTGATGCAGGCGTAGAAGTGATGCAGGCGTAGAAGTGATGCATGCGTAGAAGTGATGCATGCGTAGAAGTGATGCATGCGTAGAAGTGATGCATGCGTAGAAGTGATGCATGCGTAGAAGTGATGCAGGCGTAGAAGTGATGCATGCGTAGAAGTGATGCAGGCGTAGAAGTGATGCAGGCGTAGAAGTGATGCAGGCGTAGAAGTGATGCATGCGTAGAAGTGATGCATGCGTAGAAGTGATGCATGCGTAGAAGTGATGCAGGCGTAGAAGTGATGCAGGCGTAGAAGTGATGCAGGCGTAGAAGTGATGCATGCGTAGAAGTGATGCATGCGTAGAAGTGATGCATGCGTAGAAGTGATGCAGGCGTAGAAGTGATGCAGGCGTAGAAGTGATGCAGGCGTAGAAGTGATGCATGTGTAGAAGTGATGCAGGCGTAGAAGTGATGCAGGCGTAGAAGTGATGCAGGCGTAGAAGTGATGCATGTGTAGAAGTGATGCATGCGTAGAAGTGATGCATGCGTAGAAGTGATGCATGCGTAGAAGTGATGCATGCGTAGAAGTGATGCATGCGTAGAAGTGATGCAGGCGTAGAAGTGATGCAGGCGTAGAAGTGATGCAGGCGTAGAAGTGATGCAGGCGTAGAAGTGATGCAGGCGTAGAAGTGATGCATGTGTAGAAGTGATGCAGGCGTAGAAGTGATGCAGGCGTAGAAGTGATGCAGGCGTAGAAGTGATGCATGTGTAGAAGTGATGCATGCGTAGAAGTGATGCATGTGTAGAAGTGATGCATGCGTAGAAGTGATGCATGCGTAGAAGTGATGCATGCGTAGAAGTGATGCATGCATAGAAGTGATGCATGCGTAGAAGTGATGCATGCGTAGAAGTGATGCATGCGTAGAAGTGATGCAGGCGTAGAAGTGATGCAGGCGTAGAAGTGATGCAGGCGTAGAAGTGATGTAGGCGTAGAAGTGATGCAGGCGTAGAAGTGATGCAGGCGTAGAAGTGATGCAGGCGTAGAAGTGATGCATGCGTAGAAGTGATGCATGCGTAGAAGTGATGCATGCGTAGAAGTGATGCATGCGTAGAAGTGATGCAGGCGTAGAAGTGATGCAGGCGTAGAAGTGATGCATGTGTAGAAGTGATGCAGGCGTAGAAGTGATGCAGGCGTAGAAGTGATGCATGTGTAGAAGTGATGCAGGCGTAGAAGTGATGCAGGCGTAGAAGTGATGCAGGCGTAGAAGTGATGCATGTGTAGAAGTGATGCATGCGTAGAAGTGATGCATGCGTAGAAGTGATGCATGCGTAGAAGTGATGCATGCGTAGAAGTGATGCATGCGTAGAAGTGATGCATGCGTAGAAGTGATGCATGCGTAGAAGTGATGCAGGCGTAGAAGTGATGCAGGCGTAGAAGTGATGCATGCGTAGAAGTGATGCAGGCGTAGAAGTGATGCAGGCGTAGAAGTGATGCAGGCGTAGAAGTGATGCATGCGTAGAAGTGATGCAGGCGTAGAAGTGATGCATGCGTAGAAGTGATGCAGGCGTAGAAGTGATGCAGGCGTAGAAGTGATGCAGGCGTAGAAGTGATGCAGGCGTAGAAGTGATGCAGGCGTAGAAGTGATGCAGGCGTAGAAGTGATGCAGGCGTAGAAGTGATGCAGGCGTAGAAGTGATGCAGGCGTAGAAGTGATGCAGGCGTAGAAGTGATGCAGGCGTAGAAGTGATGCAGGCGTAGAAGTGATGCAGGCGTAGAAGTGATGCAGGCGTAGAAGTGATGCAGGCGTAGAAGTGATGCATGCGTAGAAGTGATGCAGGCGTAGAAGTGATGCAGGCGTAGAAGTGATGCAGGCGTAGAAGTGATGCAGGCGTAGAAGTGATGCAGGCGTAGAAGTGATGCAGGCGTAGAAGTGATGCAGGCGTAGAAGTGATGCAGGCGTAGAAGTGATGCAGGCGTAGAAGTGATGCAGGCGTAGAAGTGATGCAGGCGTAGAAGTGATGCAGGCGTAGAAGTGATGCAGGCGTAGAAGTGATGCAGGCGTAGAAGTGATGCAGGCGTAGAAGTGATGCAGGCGTAGAAGTGATGCAGGCGTAGAAGTGATGCAGGCGTAGAAGTGATGCAGGCGTAGAAGTGATGCAGGCGTAGAAGTGATGCAGGCGTAGAAGTGATGCAGGCGTAGAAGTGATGCAGGCGTAGAAGTGATGCAGGCGTAGAAGTGATGCAGGCGTAGAAGTGATGCAGGCGTAGAAGTGATGCAGGCGTAGAAGTGATGCAGGCGTAGAAGTGATGCAGGCGTAGAAGTGATGCAGGCGTAGAAGTGATGCAGGCGTAGAAGTGATGCAGGCGTAGAAGTGATGCAGGCGTAGAAGTGATGCAGGCGTAGAAGTGATGCAGGCGTAGAAGTGATGCATGCGTAGAAGTGATGCATGCGTAGAAGTGATGCATGCGTAGAAGTGATGCATGCGTAGAAGTGATGCATGCGTAGAAGTGATGCATGCGTAGAAGTGATGCAGGCGTAGAAGTGATGCAGGCGTAGAAGTGATGCAGGCGTAGAAGTGATGCAGGCGTAGAAGTGATGCAGGCGTAGAAGTGATGCAGGCGTAGAAGTGATGCAGGCGTAGAAGTGATGCAGGCGTAGAAGTGATGCAGGCGTAGAAGTGATGCAGGCGTAGAAGTGATGCAGGCGTAGAAGTGATGCAGGCGTAGAAGTGATGCAGGCGTAGAAGTGATGCAGGCGTAGAAGTGATGCAGGCGTAGAAGTGATGCAGGCGTAGAAGTGATGCAGGCGTAGAAGTGATGCAGGCGTAGAAGTGATGCAGGCGTAGAAGTGATGCAGGCGTAGAAGTGATGCAGGCGTAGAAGTGATGCAGGCGTAGAAGTGATGCAGGCGTAGAAGTGATGCAGGCGTAGAAGTGATGCAGGCGTAGAAGTGATGCAGGCGTAGAAGTGATGCAGGCGTAGAAGTGATGCAGGCGTAGAAGTGATGCAGGCGTAGAAGTGATGCAGGCGTAGAAGTGATGCAGGCGTAGAAGTGATGCAGGCGTAGAAGTGATGCAGGCGTAGAAGTGATGCAGGCGTAGAAGTGATGCAGGCGTAGAAGTGATGCAGGCGTAGAAGTGATGCAGGCGTAGAAGTGATGCAGGCGTAGAAGTGATGCATGTGGTGGCACAGGGGGAGGAGGAGGGCACTCATGTGTGGCTTTTGAGATGTCTCACAAGTCGCCTCTGCTTCTTTTGTTGTGCCTGCACCCTCCTCTGCACCCTCCTCTGCACCCTCCTCTGACCAGATGTGGCAGTATCAGGTAACGGAAAGGGCGTGTGATGCGGGCATGGCAGTGATGCATGTGGTGGCGCAAGGGGACGAGGGCGCGCATGTGCGCACCGGCTTGCTCGTGGGCCATCGATTGGGGGATGTGAGGTGAGAAGCGTGGAACAAGGGCGATGGGAGGTGAGGATTGTGGGTGGGTGACAGTGACACACTCTCGCTCATCTCTCTTGCCCCTTTCCATGGGCAGCAGCTCGCTCCCTCTCGCTCATCCCTCCCTCATCGCACCCTTGTTCCCAAGCAGCCTTCTGGAGCTCACGGATCAGGAAGAGACGCCTAGCACCACTCGCCCCACCACCCACCAGCACCACTGGCCTTTGCACATTTCCACAGGCAGCTCCTTCTCCCTCTTGCAATCCCTGCCTCATCACACCCCTGTTCCCCCTATCGTACAGCCTTCTGGAGCTCACGGATCAGGAGGAGACGCCTAGCACCACTCGCCCCACCACCCTCCAGCACCACTGGCCTGTGCTTCTTTCCTCAGGCAGCTCCATTTCCACATCCGGGCAGCGGGTCGCAACTTATGATCTGCCCAGGCCCCCTCCGCCTCCGGCCTTCTCAAGCTCGCACTCCCTCTTTCTGGGCTCGGATGTTACGAGCATACGCACACTTCCTTGGGGCAGCAGAGCGATTGGAGATTCTGGTGTTGCTGCGGGCAGCTGTGCAGCGTGAGTGGGTGGATTGGGTAGGAAAAGAAGGGGGAGCAGAGGGGGAAGGAGAGGGCGTTTAGGTTGGGGCCTTCACGAGCTCGCACTCCCTCTTTCTGGGCTCGGATGTTACGAGAATACGCACGCTCCCTTGGGGCAGCAGAGCGATTGGTGATTCTGGTGTTGCTGCTGGCAGCTGTGCAGCGTGAGTGGGTGGGGTGGGTAGGTAGGAGAGAGAGGGGAGGCTAAGGTGTTGAGGGGCTGGGTGGGGCTATGAAGCCCAAAAAGAGCGAGTGACGAACGTCGCACTCGCTCTTTTTGGGGAGGCACGAACTGCCTAACTTTTTCTCCAGTCTAGATGTTCCTTTCCCCGTTCCTATCCTTCCTATCCTTCCTGTCCTTCCCGTCCTTCCCAGCATCACAACTCTAGGCACGGGGGGTCACCCTGCCTGTGTGGTGCTGGCTGGTCTGGTCTGGACCTCTCGGGCTCATCTGGTGCAGCCTCAACTGGTCTGGACCTCTCGGGCTAATCTGGTTCATCCCCTCCTACTGCTGCTCTTCTTCATGACAAGCACTGACCTGTGGGTCTGGTCTGGACCTCTCGGGCTCATCTGGTGCAGCCTCAACTGGTGACGGCGCAGCTGATGGCTCAACTGGACTTGCTGCTAATAACTGTTTCCTCCTAGGTTCACCCAAAAGCGCCTTCTGCTAACTAACAGCTCTGTCCCTTCTTCCTGTCCATCTTATCCATCCCAGCATCACGACTCTAGGCACGGGGGGGCACCCGGCCCGTGTGTTGCTCGCTGCACTCGACCTCGCAGACTCTTCTGGTGGTGGTCCAACTCGTGGAGGCACATCTGGTGCCAATGGTGCCGCAGCTGGTGCTGGTGTTGCTAGCGCGGCTGGTGCGGGTGTTTCAAGAGGTGGTGGAAGTGGCAGGAGAGGGAGCAGCAGGCAGCGCCTTCTTCATTGGCAAGTGGAGAGGCAGTTTGAGTTGCCGGGCAGCGTATGGGCGTGTGAATGCTCGCCGAAGCAAGGGGAGATTGGAGTGGGTGAGTGTGTGTGTGGTTCTTACTTAGGCACCTAAAAGTAGATCGACCCGTACTACAAGGTGCACTGGCCTTGAGAGAAGTTCAAGTCACTACCACCTACACTTTGCTATGAGAGAAAGCATACGCTTCCGCAACCGCAAGCACCACCGCATGCATCTGTTTCTCTCTCACTGTGTGTGTATTGTATCTGTGTGTCTCTCTCTCCAGGCACGTCACTGAAGTTGCAGCTGCTGCACGTGGAGACGGGGCAGCGGACAGCCCTTGAGGCGCAGAGTACCCTCCAGATTTAGAGATTCTCACTGTTTGTTTCCTGTAAACCCCTCCCGCTGCATCTCTGTGCCTCTCTCCAGGCACGTCCCTGGGATTGCGGCTGCTGCACGTGGAGACGGGGCAGAGGACAGCCCTGTGCCACAGCAACAGTGACGTGCTAGCGCTGCAGGTCACAGGGGAGGTGAGACATGGGGTAGGTAGGATGTGTATGTGGGAGGTGCAATATGGGGAGGGTGGGACGGTGGAGCTGCTGCACGTGGAGACGGGGCAGAGGACAGTCCTGTGCCACAGCAACAGTGACGTGCTAGTGTTGCAAGTCACAGGAGAGGTGAGACACAGGGGAGGTGAGGTTCGGAGGATGTGATGAGACTGTGGTGAGTCGAATCAAAATACGCTTGGAAAAGCTTCCTAACTGACTACTTCTAGAAGCTTCCGTCACTACCTGATATATCTTGAAACGAGGCGAGTTTTGAGTCGACTCAAACTCGACACAGGAAAAGCTTCCTAACTGACACTATCGCTACCTAGAAACGAGGCGAGTTTTGAGTCGACTCAAACTCGACACAGGAAAAGCTTCCTAACTGACACTATCGCTACCTAGAAACGAGGCGAGTTTTGAGCCGACTCAAACTCGACACAGGAAAAGCTTCCTAACTGACACTATCGCTACCTAGAAACGAGGCGAGTTTTGAGCCGACTCAAACTCGACACAGGAAAAGCTTCCTAACTGACACTATCGCTACCTAGAAACGAGGCGAGTTTTGAGCCGACTCAAACTCGACACAGGAAAAGCTTCCTAACTGACACTATCGCTACCTAGAAACGAGGCGAGTTTTGAGCCGACTCAAACTCGACACAGGAAAAGCTTCCTAACTGACACTATCGCTACCTAGAAACGAGGCGAGTTTTGAGCCGACTCAAACCCGACACAGGAAAAGCTTCCTAACTGACACTATCGCTACCTAGAAACGAGGCGATTTTTGAGCCGACTCAAACTCGACACAGGAAAAGCTTCCTAACTGACACTATCGCTACCTAGAAACGAGGCGAGTTTTGAGCCGACTCAAACTCGACACAGGAAAAGCTTCCTAACTGACACTATCGCTACCTAGAAACGAGGCGAGTTTTGAGCCGACTCAAACTCGACACAGGAAAAGCTTCCTAACTGACACTATCGCTACCTAGAAACGAGGCGAGTTTTGAGCCGACTCAAACTCGACACAGGAAAAGCTTCCTAACTGACACTATCGCTACCTAGAAACGAGGCGAGTTTTGAGCCGACTCAAACTCGACACAGGAAAAGCTTCCTAACTGACACTATCGCTACCTAGAAACGAGGCGAGTTTTGAGCCGACTCAAACTCGACACAGGAAAAGCTTCCTAACTGACACTATCGCTACCTAGAAACGAGGCGAGTTTTGAGCCGACTCAAACTCGACACAGGAAAAGCTTCCTAACTGACACTATCGCTACCTAGAAACGAGGCGAGTTTTGAGCCGACACAAACTCGACACAGGAAAAGCTTCCTAACTGACACTATCGCTACCTAGAAACGAGGCGAGTTTTGAGCCGACTCAAACTCGACACAGGAAAAGCTTCCTAACTGACACTATCGCTACCTAGAAACGAGGCGAGTTTTGAGCCGACTCAAACTCGACACAGGAAAAGCTTCCTAACTGACACTATCGCTACCTAGAAACGAGGCGAGTTTTGAGCCGACTCAAACTCGACACAGGAAAAGCTTCCTAACTGACACTATCGCTACCTAGAAACGAGGCGAGTTTTGAGCCGACTCAAACTCGACACAGGAAAAGCTTCCTAACTGACACTATCGCTACCTAGAAACGAGGCGAGTTTTGAGCCGACACAAACTCGACACAGGAAAAGCTTCCTAACTGACACTATCGCTACCTAGAAACGAGGCGAGTTTTGAGCCGACTCAAACTCGACACAGGAAAAGCTTCCTAACTGACACTATCGCTACCTAGAAACGAGGCGAGTTTTGAGCCGACTCAAACTCGACACAGGAAAAGCTTCCTAACTGACACTATCGCTACCTAGAAACGAGGCGAGTTTTGAGCCGACTCAAACTCGACACAGGAAAAGCTTCCTAACTGACACTATCGCTACCTAGAAACGAGGCGAGTTTTGAGCCGACACAAACTCGACACAGGAAAAGCTTCCTAACTGACACTATCGCTACCTAGAAACGAGGCGAGTTTTGAGCCGACACAAACTCGACACAGGAAAAGCTTCCTAACTGACACTATCGCTACCTAGAAACGAGGCGAGTTTTGAGCCGACTCAAACTCGACACAGGAAAAGCTTCCTAACTGACACTATCGCTACCTAGAAACGAGGCGAGTTTTGAGCCGACTCAAACTCGACACAGGAAAAGCTTCCTAACTGACACTATCGCTACCTAGAAACGAGGCGAGTTTTGAGCCGACTCAAACTCGACACAGGAAAAGCTTCCTAACTGACACTATCGCTACCTAGAAACGAGGCGAGTTTTGAGCCGACACAAACTCGACACAGGAAAAGCTTCCTAACTGACACTATCGCTACCTAGAAACGAGGCGAGTTTTGAGCCGACTCAAACTCGACACAGGAAAAGCTTCCTAACTGACACTATCGCTACCTAGAAACGAGGCGAGTTTTGAGCCGACACAAACTCGACACAGGAAAAGCTTCCTAACTGACACTATCGCTACCTAGAAACGAGGCGAGTTTTGAGCCGACTCAAACTCGACACAGGAAAAGCTTCCTAACTGACACTATCGCTACCTAGAAACGAGGCGAGTTTTGAGCCGACTCAAACTCGACACAGGAAAAGCTTCCTAACTGACACTATCGCTACCTAGAAACGAGGCGAGTTTTGAGCCGACTCAAACTCGACACAGGAAAAGCTTCCTAACTGACACTATCGCTACCTAGAAACGAGGCGAGTTTTGAGCCGACTCAAACTCGACACAGGAAAAGCTTCCTAACTGACACTATCGCTACCTAGAAACGAGGCGAGTTTTGAGCCGACTCAAACTCGACACAGGAAAAGCTTCCTAACTGACACTATCGCTACCTAGAAACGAGGCGAGTTTTGAGCCGACTCAAACTCGACACAGGAAAAGCTTCCTAACTGACACTATCGCTACCTAGAAACGAGGCGAGTTTTGAGCCGACACAAACTCGACACAGGAAAAGCTTCCTAACTGACACTATCGCTACCTAGAAACGAGGCGAGTTTTGAGCCGACTCAAACTCGACACAGGAAAAGCTTCCTAACTGACACTATCGCTACCTAGAAACGAGGCGAGTTTTGAGCCGACTCAAACTCGACACAGGAAAAGCTTCCTAACTGACACTATCGCTACCTAGAAACGAGGCGAGTTTTGAGCCGACTCAAACTCGACACAGGAAAAGCTTCCTAACTGACACTATCGCTACCTAGAAACGAGGCGAGTTTTGAGCCGACACAAACTCGACACAGGAAAAGCTTCCTAACTGACACTATCGCTACCTAGAAACGAGGCGAGTTTTGAGCCGACTCAAACTCGACACAGGAAAAGCTTCCTAACTGACACTATCGCTACCTAGAAACGAGGCGAGTTTTGAGCCGACACAAACTCGACACAGGAAAAGCTTCCTAACTGACACTATCGCTACCTAGAAACGAGGCGAGTTTTGAGCCGACACAAACTCGACACAGGAAAAGCTTCCTAACTGACACTATCGCTACCTAGAAACGAGGCGAGTTTTGAGCCGACTCAAACTCGACACAGGAAAAGCTTCCTAACTGACACTATCGCTACCTAGAAACGAGGCGAGTTTTGAGCCGACACAAACTCGACACAGGAAAAGCTTCCTAACTGACACTATCGCTACCTAGAAACGAGGCGAGTTTTGAGCCGACTCAAACTCGACACAGGAAAAGCTTCCTAACTGACACTATCGCTACCTAGAAACGAGGCGAGTTTTGAGCCGACACAAACTCGACACAGGAAAAGCTTCCTAACTGACACTATCGCTACCTAGAAACGAGGCGAGTTTTGAGCCGACACAAACTCGACACAGGAAAAGCTTCCTAACTGACACTATCGCTACCTAGAAACGAGGCGAGTTTTGAGCCGACTCAAACTCGACACAGGAAAAGCTTCCTAACTGACACTATCGCTACCTAGAAACGAGGCGAGTTTTGAGCCGACACAAACTCGACACAGGAAAAGCTTCCTAACTGACACTATCGCTACCTAGAAACGAGGCGAGTTTTGAGCCGACTCAAACTCGACACAGGAAAAGCTTCCTAACTGACACTATCGCTACCTAGAAACGAGGCGAGTTTTGAGCCGACTCAAACTCGACACAGGAAAAGCTTCCTAACTGACACTATCGCTACCTAGAAACGAGGCGAGTTTTGAGCCGACTCAAACTCGACACAGGAAAAGCTTCCTAACTGACACCATCACTACCTAGAAACGAGGGGCAAGGGGAAAAGGGCCTCTCGTCATCGCCTCTCTGTACACATAGCAGCGAGGGATCGAGCAGCAAGGAAGAGAATTTCCCCTTTCCCCTCTCAGCCCCAAGCACCCCAAGCTTTATTGAAATCACTTCTGAGAATTCTCAAAAGTGATTTCAATCTCCCCTTTCCCCTCTCAGCGCCAAGCACCCCAAGCTTTCCATCCCTTCCACAGAAAGCTCACACACCCCAACGTGCGACCTCAGGGCAGCACCTACCTGGCAGGTTTTCGCAACGGCGCCATCGCCACCATCGACTTTCTATGCATGTCAACCTTTCCAACCTCTCACCCCCTCCCTCTCCCCCTCCTCACCCCCCATGCGACCCCAGGGCAGCATCTACCTGGCTGGTTTCCGTAACGGAGCCATTGCCACCATCGACATGCGCGCTCCCCTGCCTCCCCGCCTCGAGTTTTGAGTCAGCTCAAACCTCCTTCCCCTCCCCAACACCGTGTCACCCCAGGGCAGCATCTACCTGGCTGGTTTCCGGAACGGAGCCGTCGCCACCATCGACACACGCGCACCCCTCCCCACCTCAAAGCTAACACCCCTTTCATCTCAACCTTCCCAACCTCCCCCTCTTCCCCACCCCCCCTTTCCCCCCGCTCCCGCTCCCTCGACCCCAGAGCAGCACTTACCTGGCAGGTTTCCGCAGCGGCGCCATTGCCACCATCGACATGCGCGCACCCCTCCCCACCTCGAGTTTTGAGTCAGCTCAACTCCCCTCCCCCCCCACCACCTCGTGTGTCACCCCAGGGAAGCATCTACCTGGCTGGTTTCCGTGACGGCGCCATTGCCACCATCGATACGCGCGCACCCCTCCCCACCTCGAGTTTTGAGTCAGCTCAACTCCCCTCCCCCCCCACCACCTCGTGTGTCACCCCAGGGAAGCATCTACCTGGCTGGTTTCCGTGACGGCGCCATTGCCACCATCGATACGCGCGCACCCCTCCCCACCTCGAGTTTTGAGTCAGCTCAACTCCCCTCCCCCCCCACCACCTCGTGTGTCACCCCAGGGAAGCATCTACCTGGCTGGTTTCCGTGACGGCGCCATTGCCACCATCGATACGCGCGCACCCCTCCCCACCTCGAGTTTTGAGTCAGCTCAACTCCCCTCCCCCCCCACCACCTCGTGTGTCACCCCAGGGAAGCATCTACCTGGCTGGTTTCCGTGACGGCGCCATTGCCACCATCGATACGCGCGCACCCCTCCCCACCTCAAAGCTAACACCCCTTTCATCTCAACCTTCCCAACCTCCCCCTCTTCCCCACCCCCTTTTTCCCCCCGCTTCCGCTCCCTCGACCCCAGAGCAGCACCTACCTGGTGGTTTCCACAACGGCGCCATCGCCACCATCGACACGCGCGCACCCCTGCCCACCTCAGCCAAGCAGCTCCCACCACCGCCGCTTAGGCACCCAGCGGATCGGAGGGGGCTGGGGGGTGGCAGGAGGGGCAAGAGGGGTGCAGCAGGGGAGGTGAATGAGTATTACTGCAGCCACCAGCGAGTCATGCGCATGCCTTCTGCTGTGTCTGGGTATGTTCGCCCTCTGCCGTCTGCCGTCTGCCCGCTGCTGTATCTAGGTATATGTGTGTGCACAGTGTACCCCTTTGAGTATTACTGCAGCCACCAGCGAGTCATGCGCATGCCCTCTGCTGTATCTGGGTATGTTTGCCCTCTGCCCTCTGATGTATCTAGGTATGCATGTGTGTGTGCACCCTTTGAGTATTACTGCAGCCACCAGCGAGTCATGCGCATGCCCTCTGCTGTCTCTGGGTGGGTACGGCTGAGATTTGCGATGGCAAGGTGTGGGCACTGCATGGGTCATGCCTTGGGCTATCTGTCACGTGCCAGAGGTTAATTTTGAGATGTTGATGTATCTTGCAAGTCTTGATTTTGAGACGTCTCAAACGGAATGCGTTCTGCTGTCATGTGGCGGGGGGTTGATGTTTGAAATGTTTATCTATTGTGCAAGTGATGAGAAATATAGCCACGTGATTAAAGTGTTGTTTTGAGACGTCTCAAAACAATACTTTTATTGTGCAAGTGATGGGCATGGTGAATGAAGAATAGGCCATGCCCTTGGGCCTTGCTGTGTACCTCTCTGTGTGTGCAGCATGTATGCCGCAGTCACTAAGCATCTATGTCATGACTCTACGCTCATGCTCTCTTTGTTCTCCTCCTATATTGCCATGCATGGGGACATCATCCATGGCGTACGGTGCATGGGGTTTGGGGCATGTGGTATGGGGCATGGGGCATGGTGCATGGGGCATGGGGCATGGTGCATGGGACATGGGGCATGGTCCATGGGACACGGGGCATGGTGCATGGGCATGGGGCATGGGGCATGCAGCATGCAGGCAATGAAGCAGAGTGATTTCTACCTCTTCGCATCCTCCTTTGATGGATCCGTGAGTCCCACCTTTCCATCAATGCATTTTCTGCCACCCGGTATTCTTCTTCACACTTAACTCGTGCTTTGTAGTCAAATTCTCACTTCTTTTGATGCGCAGGTTTTCTAGAGTTCATAGAATTCAATTCATGCATGGGGGGGTTAGCGAGTCCAATATTGTCCTGCCATCTCTGCTTTCGGAAGCCGAAGCCTTGATTGGTGTATGGTCACGTCAGTAGGCTAGTGTCGTCCTCTGTTCCTCCCTCCCTCGCTCCCCACCCAATTCTGCCTTTCCCTAATACTCCTGTTCCTCTCGGAAACAGGTGAGCCACAGTTCCGAGCAATCACAGTGATGGAAACACTCCTGTTCCTCTCGGAACTGTGGCTCGCCTGTTTCCAGTCACTGCTCTGATGCGTCAGCGACAGCTGATGCGTCGCACCAATCACCTCTCACTGCATTCCTCCGTGCCTTGTCATTCTCACTATGATTGCTCGTGTCTCACATGGTGCCATCCACCCAATGGCAGTTGTTTCAATGGGACCTCCGCTCTTCGGCGACGCCCCTACGCCAGTTGCAGGGCCACAGAAACTCGCACTTCCACCTGCCACTGCTGCTTGACCCTTCAGAGAACTTCATATGTGCACGTGAGGCATGATACAAAGCCTTTGTTTCTTCTTTCGGCCTTGTTTGTGCAGCTGTTGTAACAATTTGTTGTGGTATCCCTTTTTTTTGCAGCTGGAAATGACTATGAAGCTCGCATATGGAGTGTTTCAACTGGTGCCTTGCTGTCAGCGGCTCACCTCCCTGGTCATGCTACTGCTGCTCTTTGGTCTTGTACATCTGGTAGGTGTTGTTGTGGCTTCGTTATATCTCCGACCCCTTCATTCGTATCTTCATTTATATACATAACCTGTTTTTATGTTTGCAGGTTCTGGAAATGGTTTGTCAGATTTTCCAGATGGTATATTTCTCGGTACATGCGACTCTTTGTGCTACTTGGATTTCTCAGTGTAGTACACTCGAAAGCACGCCTAAAACGAAGTCAAATCCAGCTTGGTGGTTCTTACAGTCAACGAACCGCCACGTGGCATCAGAAACTGTGGTATTTGCCCCAGCCACTCGTCTCGTCCCCCATGTCTCCGAAGCTTTCGCAACGCAACACATTCCAGCCACATGTAACAAGGCGACGCTGCTGCTTGCTCCCCTTGCCCTTGTTCCGCTTACTGATCCTGCCAGCCGCATTATCCGTCGAGCATGCCCCTTCTCAGTGCTTCTGAAACAGAATGACAGGTGGTTCAGAGGTTAGCTGAGTGGTCTCAAGCGTTATATTCTGGTACTACGGTATTACTCCTTTGATGCTTCGAATTTGCTCTTGCTAGTGTCTCATCTGGTTAGCTCTGACAAACCAACTGTGTGCTTCAACCTTCTAGCTCGTTGTTCTCTATCTTCTGCTCGCAATCGTCAGGAAGTTTGGAACGGGACGATCGTGGTATTTTACCTTTAGTGCCTGTTTACTGGTGAGCCACGCTCGACACCCTCCGTTTGAGTCACTTCAATAACCGCATTTCGCCTGGCACCGTACGGTGCTGTGCCTTGGTATAGCGCTGCAGCTGGTGACAGATCATCCGTAGTTGCTCGTTGTGACCTGTTTTACCTGCACGATTTTTAGCGAGAATGTTTCTGGTAATTTGAGGAACAAGCTTCGCCTGTAGGCTAGGGCTCCGGTCATTGCGGTGCAGACGATAAGGGAGAGTAGTTTCGTCTACGCATTTCGTGTCCCCTTTCGTCGCGGAACCCATTGGTCGCCTAAGCAGCCATGGCACTCGCGGCTTTGCATCAGTCGGCCTCGTTGCGTGCAGTCCGTCTCTCTCCTTCCTACTCTTCTGAACGCCACGTCAGCGGAAGCTCTCCCTTAGAATCACAACTATCGCTTCTATCTGGAACCGCATCTCAGCATCAGTCTCTCAGCTCTCGTTCTCTCGCCGCTCCAAAACTCGCACTCCAGAGATTTCTTGGTTCGTCGACCGAAACAGCGGCTGCGAGGGCGACGACGGTGACGGCGACTTTGGCGTCGGAGAGCGAGGCTGCGAAGGCGGGTGGGACGCCGGCGAATTCAGGAGAATCGAGGCTTGCGAAGGTAACATCTCATGTTCATTTTGCGACTGTGATTTGTCGTGAATCAAGGTGAAAGAATAGCAACGAGTATCCAATGTAGGGAATCAATAGCCACCCGATCGTATCGCCGTACAGCAATAAATGGTCGAAACATTCGCCCCGTTTCCGCTTCAACCGCGGTTGAATTTTTACAAACTTTAAAAAACCTGTTTGGGAATTAAACCTCGTCTTCCACTTTAATAACGCATTATGGTGACAATCTGACTTCAGTCGAACTTCCGTTCCCTCTCCCCTCTTCCCATTCCTTGCAACCCCCAGGTGCCCACCGAGCGCATCCGCAACTTTCATCGCGCACATCGACCACGGCAAGTCGACGCTGGCCGACAAGCTGCTCGAGACTAGTACTCCGTCGCTCCATGTCCCCCTTCTCCCCCCCCTTTCCCGTCGCTTCCTCTTTCCCCCACCCCCTCTACCCACGAAACCTCCCGCCTTCTGCCCCCTCTCCCCATTCCTCATAATTTTCCCAGGTGCCCATCGAGCGCATCCGCAACTTCAGCATCATCGCGCACATCGACCATGGCAAGTCGACGCTGGCCGACAAGCTGCTCGAGAAAACAACTCCCTCTCTTCCCATCACCCATCCCCGTCCTCTTCCCCTGCTACTCCCCCTCTAATTCCACATCCCCCCCCACCCCCCATTCCCCACAGGTGCCCATCGAGCGCATCCGCAACTTCAGCATCATCGCGCACATCGACCATGGCAAGTCGACGCTGGCCGACAAGCTGCTCGAGACGACGGGCACGGTGCAGGCGCGCGAGATGAAGGAGCAGTTCCTGGATAACATGGAGCTGGAGAGAGAGCGAGGGATCACGATCAAACTGCAGGTAACACTGAGTTCCGGGTAGGGTTTTGAGGACAGCATGGGCACGGTGCAGGCGCGCGAGATGAAGGAGCAGTTTCTGGATAACATGGAGCTGGAGAGAGAGCGAGGGATCACGATTAAACTGCAGGTAGGATTACTGTTTGGTTGAATGTGGTTGTTATGAGGTGACGGTGCAGGCACGCGGGATGAAGCAGCAGTTTTTGGATGGCATGGAGCTGGGGAAGATAGATGGAAAGAGGGAACAGCAACTTTTTCTCTTTGTTCACAGCGCAATGCTGCTGCTATTATTGCTGTCGCTCTTGCACAGCTACCTTGCTATTCCCATCCCATCACTCACCCCAGCCCTTGACAAAGAAGCGATGATGCCGCAATAAGGCCGAAATGACAGCTGCCAGGTGGCAGGCAGTGGCTGGTCCGTTGACTTTGACTTGGTCAACGGTTGAGTCCCTGCCTTGCTTTTCCTTGGCTGCGAGCGTGACATGTGCGCACAGCGAGCAAAGGTTGATCCGCTTTTGTCTGAGCTTCTGAGTTGTTACTGTCAGTCAGTCAGACAGACAGGAGGGGATTGCAGAACGCTATTGTCAGTCCGACAGACGCAGTGGGTTGTTGCGGGCTGGGCTGGTTGCAAGGATCGAAAAGAGGAAGGACATGAATTGCTGCCACCTGCCCCTGCCTGCTGCACCCTCTCCCTCTCCTTGGGGGAGGAGGAGAAGGGCGCATGCAGGGGCAGGGCGAGGCGAGCAGAGAGTATGACGTCCGTTACACTTGATATGAGCAACCCAAGGCCTGGATTTTTGTGACAACAAAAGGATTAGCTTGTGGAGGGGGAGAAGAGGGGGACGTGCAGGGGCGGGGCGAGGCGAGCAGAGAGTATGACGTCCGTTACACTTGATATGTGCAACTGAACCGACGGCATGATTTTCATGACGACAAGAGGATTAGGTTTTGACATGACACAGCCTTCTGAGTCCTGGGCGTGGAACATTCATTCTTGGGTTGGGGTGTTATTCTGTGGTTAGTGATTTACCGACTGTGATTACTCTAAATGTCTCTGGAAGAAGCTATGATGATGGGAATGATTGGTGAGTTCTGGAGTCTCCTTGCTCCTTAACTCCCTCCACCCACCCACCCACCCACCACCAGTCAGCCCGCCCCTGTCCCTCCTTCTCCTCTCTCCACTCTCTCCTCCCTCCAATCACTCCTCCCCACGTCTGCACCACCACTCTTCTCTCTGCTCGTCGAATCCACCTCTGCTGGCAGTATGACAGACACTTAGCCAAATCCGAAGGCCTTCCTGCTCCTCTCCTCCCCTCCCTCTCTTCCCCCCCTCTCCCTCTTTATCCAAACCCCGAATCCCCTTCTTTTGCTTGACCGTGAAAGAAGGAGGTTTAGGAGGCGGGTTGAGAGGGGAGGGGTGGGTGGAGTTTGAGAGGGATGGAGATGGTTGCAGGGAGGTCTGATGACGCGAAAATGGTTGTCCGAGAACAAAGGTGTATGGAAGCCTGGTATTTGCCGCTGGTGGATCAACTCTGAGCAATAGAGAGCGGGTAAAGTGGAGCGACGTGAAGGGAGTGTATTGTGCTTGGGGGTGGAGGGTGGTGCATGGGGAAAGGCGGTGAGAGGGGTTGGCTGCCATGTGTGTGTGGGAGGGGGGCTGGCTTGGGGCGTGCTTGCTTGCAAGCTGCTTCAAGGGAGCTGAGGGTGCTGCTGACTGACTGACTGACTGCGTCGTCAGCAGCAGATGATGAAAGAAATCCGAGTCCTCTGAGCTTCGTCCTTGAATGCTTCTGTGCGTGCCAGTGCCCGTCTGTGCCCGTTTGTGGTTGCCACTCGGTGCATGTTTCCTCCTAACCTTGTCTGAATTCCCTTGTTCCAGTGTGCCACTCACGCGCCGTCCCCCCTATTCTCACTGCTCCTTGTCCCTCCATGTCTGTCTTACCCACCCCTTGTCTGCCCCATCCCAACCCCCAGGCAGCGCGCATGCGGCACGTGTCGAGTCTGCTTTTGAGTCGACTCAAAAGCAGCGCGCATGCGGCACGTGTCGAGTCTGCTTTTGAGTCGACTCAAAAGCAGCGCGCATGCGGCACGTGTCGAGGGTGGACGGCGAGCCCTTGCCTCAATCTCATTGACACGCCCGCCCACGTCGACTTCAGCTGCGAGGTGTCTCTCCCTTCCCTCATACCTCTCCTTTTCGCTCCTTGCCTCCCAGGCAGCGCGCATGCGGCATGTGTCAAGGGTGGATGGCAAGGCGTACTGTCTGAATCTCATTGACACGCCCGGCCATGTGGACTTCAGCTACGAGGTGTCCCGCTCGCTGGCTGCCTGCGAGGGAGCGCTGCTCGTGGTGGACGCGTCTCAGGGCGTGGAGGCACAGACGCTGGCAAACGTGTACCTGGCAATTGAAGGGAACCTGGAAATCATTCCGATAAGCGAGTTTTAACTGTAGGGTGCTGTGCTGTTTGAGTCGGGCCTAGGACAAGCACAGCAGCTGGCTGCCTGTGAGGGTGCGCTGCTGCTGCTGCTGGTGGACGCGTCTCAGGGCGTGGAGGCTCAGACACTGGCCAACGTGTACCTCGCAATAGAGGGCAACCTGGAGATTATTCCGGTGAGTCGAAGTCAAACCCGAGTGTGTCGTTTTTGTGAGCTGGAGGTTTTGTTGTATGAGTGGGCGGTGATTGAGCTCAGTAGCTCGCACGCTGGCTGCCTGCGAGGGTGCGCTGCTGCTGGTGGTGGACGTGTCTCAGGGCGTGGAGGCTCAGACTCGAGCGAACGTCCACCTGCCGATCGAAGGAAATTTGGAGATCATTCCGGTGAGGGCTAGTGGGTGAGGTTTCGGGGTTCAGGGTTTAGCAGGGTTCAAGCTTTAAGGTGGCGTGGAGGCACATGCACGAGCAGGTTTCGGAGAGTTGCATTCAGAGTGCATCCGCACTCCTCAACAGGGTTCCATAGTCCTCTTCCTACCGTCGCTCTCCTCCTTCCCCACTTTCTCAGGTGCTCAACAAGACGAGTTTTGAGACGTCTCAAAACTCACATGCACGAGGAGGTTTCTGGAGAGTGCATTCAGAGTGCATCCGTGCTCCTCAACAGGGTTCCATAGTCCTCTTCCTACCGTTGCTCTCCTTCCCCACTTTCCCAGATGCTCAACAAGATTGATCTCCCAGGGGCGGATCCGGAACGAGTGAGAGCAGAGGTGGAGGAGGTGGTGGGGCTGGCTGGACGCAGCAGACAGACGCCATCCTGTGCTCCGCCCAGGAGGGTTTTGAGACGTCTCAAAGCACTTTAATTATCCTGTGCTCCGCCCAGGAGGGTTTTGAGACGTCTCAAAGCACTTTAATTATCATGTGCTCCGCCCAGGAGGGTTTTGAGACGTCTCAAAGCACTTTAATTATCCTGTGCTCCGCCCAGGAGGGTTTTGAGGCGTCTCAAAACACTTTAATTATCCTGTGCTCCGCCCAGGAGGGCGTTCTTACTCCCCAGCTGATTGTCCCCTCCATCATCTCACTGCCCTTCTCCCTCCTGCCCCTGTCCACTTGTGCCGCACCGCATCCCAGTTGCTCAACAAGATTGATCTCCCAGGAGCGGACCCGGAGCGCGTACGGGCGGAGGTGGTGGGGCTTGACGCGTCAGACGCCATCCTGTGTTCCGCCAAGGAGGGCATCTCTAGTCTTCAACCGTCTGTCACGTTCCTCTTCCTACCATTGCTCCCCTCCCCCGCTTGATCAGGTGCTCAACAAGATTGATCTGCCAGGGGCGGACCCGGAACGAGTACGGGCAGAGGTGGAGGAGGTGGTGGGGCTGGACGCGTCAGACGCCATCCTGTGTTCCGCCAAAGAGGGAGTGGGCATTCAGGACATCCTCGAGTCCATCATTGCCAAAGTGCCGCCCCCTGCTCCCACCAGAGACCAGCCCCTGCGCTGCCTCATCTTTGACAGGTATGAGGGGTGGGGATGCGGCAGGCTCATCACCTATCAAAGACAGGGCACCATGTGAAACCATTGTGCTCCGCCAAGGAGGGCGTGGGCATTCAGGACATCCTCGTGTCCATCATTGCCAAAGTGCCGGCCCCCGCTCCTACCAGAGACCAGCCCCTGCGCTGCCTGATTTTCGACAGGTTTGAGGGGAATGGAATGGGTGGGAGGGCAGGAAGGTCGCAGGGACTGACTGGGTGTGTCCTGTTCTTGAAGACAAGGTCACCACCATCACAGTGGCAGCGTGCGGTTCATGGCGAGTGGCTGCCTCGCTCACTGCTTGCCCTCCTCTATTCCCCCCCCCCCCCTTCCCCCCCCCCTCCTCTCCCCCTTTTCTCCCCCTTTTCTCCCCCTTTTCTCCCCCTTTCCCCCCCCTCCCCCTTCTCTATTATCCCCCACCAGCTACTATGAAGCGTATCACTGTATGATAGTGTACTTCAGGGTGGTGGACGGCGAGGTGTGCAAGGGAGACAGCGTGCAGTTCAAGGCGAGTAAATTGTCCTCCTCTCTTTCCCCCTCTCACTCTCCTTGGCCCCCCGCCAGCTACTACGACCCATACCGGGGGGTGATAGTGTACTTCCGAGTGGTGGATGGCGAGGTGCGCAAGGGCGACAGCGTGCGCTTCATGGCGAGTGGCAAGCAGTACGAGGTGGACGAGCTGGGGGTGCTCTCGCCCACGCAGATGCCTGTTGACTGCCTCTATGCTGGCGAGGTGGGTGGGGGATGGTGGCCTGTGCCATGATGAGAGGGTGGTGTGCGTGAGGGGTGGGTGGCGAGTGGCAAGCAGTACGAGGTGGTGGACGACCTGGGGGTGCTGTCACCCGCGCAGATGCCCGTCGATTGCTTGTATGCTGGCGAGGTGAGGCACTTGATGCTGTGGTGGTGGTGAACATGGGGAGGTGTGGGTGCTTGAGGGCATATGCCAAGCAGTACGAGGTGGTGGACGAGCTGGGGGTGCTGTCGCCCACGCAGATGCCCGTGGATTGCCTCTATGCTGGCGAGGTGAGCTGATTAAGTTGTGAGGCGATATGATCTAGCTGCTTCTCGCCCGAGCTGCCTCCTTCCCATGCAAATTCCTGTAGAACTCCTCTTTTCTTCTCCTTTCAATTCCCATATAACCCCGGTGCGCCCCTCGTAGGGGGGGTATCTCGCAGCGTCCATTCGCCAAGTGGCAGACGCGAGGGTGGGAGACACCATAACCCACGCAGGGGGAGCGGGCTAGGGCGGCCCACCGGCCAAGGAGGGGTTGCCCGGGTACAGGGAGGCGGTGCCGATGGTGTTCTGCGGGCCAAACGTTGATCTCTCTTTCACCCATACAGTGAGGGTTTCTGCTCTGCTCTTTCCGCCCTTCTCCCCTCCCCTCTCCCTTCTCCGCCCCTATCAGGTGGGGTATCTTGCAGCGTCCATTCGCCAAGTGGCAGATGCGAGGGTGGGAGACACAATCACCCACGCAGGGGGAGCGGGCAAGGGTGGCCCACCGGCCAAGGAGGGGTTGCCCGGGTACAGGGAGGCGGTGCCGATGGTGTTCTGCGGGCTCTTCCCCATCGACGCCGACCAGTTCCCCTCTCTGAGAGAAGCGCTGGAGAAGCTGCAACTGAATGATGCGGCACTACAGGTAGGAGAGAAATGGAGAAAGAGGGTGGGAGGGAGTGGGAAGGGAGGCGGTGCCGATGGTGTTCTGCGGGCTCTTCCCCATCGATGCCGACCAGTTCCCCTCCTTGAGAGAAGCGCTGGAGAAGCTTCAGTTGAATGATGCTGCTCTGCAGGTGAGGGATGCTGACAGGGAGGGAGTGGGAGGAAGTGGGAGGAAGTGGGAGGGGGTGGAAAGGGGTGGGGAGGGGGTGGAGAGTGGTGGACACCGTCAGAAAGAGCAGGGGGTGCAGGGGTTAGCAGCTAAGGAGTCTCTGCCCGGGTACAGGGAGGCGGTGCCGATGGTGTTCTGCGGGCTCTTCCCCATCGATGCCGACCAGTTCCCCTCCTTGAGAGAAGCGCTGGAGAAGCTGCAACTCAATGACGCAGCACTACAGGTGAGGAGAGGGTGGACGGAAGGAGGGCAGGAGGGAGTGGGGATGGATTGGGGAGGGATTGGGGAGTGAGTGGGGAGCAGGTGGGAGGGGGTTGGAGGGAGTTAAGAGGGGGCAACACCATTTCTTTCTCTTTTACCTTCCCCTCATTTTGCCTCCCTCCTGTGGCTCTCTCTCACTCTGTCGTTTGTCTGCTCCTCTCTCGCCCATCCAATTTGAGCCCGAGAGCAGCAGCGCCATGGAATTTGGCTTTTGAGGCTCTTAAAATAGCACTTTCACCCCCTACCTCCATTCTTCCCCTCTCTCTTTCCCCCTCTCTTCCCCTCTCCTTTTTCCCGCCAGTTTGAGCCGGAGAGCAGCAGCGCCATGGGCTTTGGCTTCCGCTGTGGCTTCCTGGGTCTGCTGCACATGGACGTGGTGCAGGTGAGGGGAGATAGGCATAGTGGCATGCTGGCATGGTGAGGGGAGAGAGGCAAAGTGGCATGCTGGCATGGTGAGGGGAGAGAGGCAAAGTGGCATGCTGGCATGGTGAGGGGAGATAGGCATAGTGGCATGCTGGCATGGTGAGGGGAGAGAGGCAAAGTGGCATGCTGGCATGGTGAGGGGAGAGAGGTAAAGTGGCATGCTGGCATGGTGAGGGGAGAGAGGCAAAGTGGCATGCTGGCATGGTGAGGGGAGAGAGGCAAAGTGGCATGCTGGCATGGTGAGGGGAGAGAGGCAAAGTGGCATGCTGGCATGGTGAGGGCAGTGCTGTTGGTATGGTGGCACGGTCTGCTGCACATGGACGTGGTGCAGGTGAGGGGATTGGTAGCAGCATGCAGGCATGGTAACATGGTTTCCTGCGCATACACGTCGTGCAGGTGAGGCGAGGGGAATACTAGTTGCGTTGCATGAAGGCATTTTTATGAGACCAGTCCAGCAATGGCAGTCTTCTTTCCCGGTGATTGATCAGTCCGCAGGAGCGACTAGAGCAAGAGTACAAGCTGTACCTGATCACAACGGCCCCCAGCGTGGTGTACCGTGTGGTGAAGCGGGACGGGTGGCTCATGATTAATCAGGCACCCACATTCTCCCTCCCTGCTTCCTCCTTGCCACACCTTACAGGAGCGACTAGAGCAAGAGTACGAGCTGTACCTGATCACAACTGCCCCCAGCGTGGTGCACCGTGTGGTGAAGTGCGACGGGTTGCTCATGCGTCAAGCACTCACATTCTGCCTCCCTCTCCCCCTCTCCCGCACCTCTCAGGAACCCTTGGAGCGAGAGTACAGCCTTGATCTGATCACAACCGCTCCCAGCGTCGTGTACCGAGTGGTGAAGCGGGACGGGTCGGTGGCGGAGTGTTCCAACCCCGCTGACATGCCGGATGCCTCTGTGCGCACTGAGATCCAGGAGCCCTACGTGCGGGTGAGTGAGTCGCGTGGGGGGTGAGTCCTCATGGGGGGTGAGTGAGTCTCCAGCTAAGGAGGATGAGCGGCCTGGGTGTGGGTGAGTGTCGGGGTGAGGGGTGAAGCGGGACGCCTCCGTGGTTCAGTGGTGGAGTTTTCCAACCCTGCTGACATGCCGGATGCCTCTGTGCGCACTGAGGTCCAGGAGCCCTACGTGCGGGTGAGTGAGTCGCGTGGGGGGTGTGACGTGGGGTGAGTGGGGGGGGCGGAAGGACGAACTAGATCCAGCACCCCTATGTGTGGGTAAGTGGGTCTCGAGAGGGATGAGCGGGCTGGCTGCAGGTGAGAGCGTGCGGTTTAGGGGAGCCTGAGTGGACTCCCTTCATAGGGTCGACTCAAATGTAGTTTGAGTCGACTCAACAGTCTACCCCCAGGGACTACAGTGGCACGCTCATGGGCCAGGTGGAGGAGAGGCGGGGCGAGTGAAGACATGTATGCCCCTCTTCCCTCCCTCGTATCTGCTGCTTTTTCCCGTCACCTCTCCAGCTGGACATCCTAACCCCCAACCCAAGGATTACATCGGCAACTCTCATGGACCTGGCATAGGAGAGGGGGGGGCGGGCGAGTGAAGTAAAGACATGCTGGCTCCTCCCTATGCCCGCTCCTCCCCCTCCACCCGCCCGCCCCCCACCAGCTGGACATTCTGACCCCCAAGGAGTACATCGGCACTCTCATGGATTTGGCTCAGGAGAGGTGGAAGATGCTCCCTGGCATGCCCGCTCCCTCCGCTCATTGTTCTTCCAACCACCACCACCCCTCTCCAGCTGGACATCTCTGACCCCCAAGGAGTGCATCGGCACTCTCATGGATTTGGCTCAGGAGAGGTGGAAGATGCTCCCTGGCATGCCCGCTCCCTCCGCTCATTGTTCTTCCAACCACCACCACCCCTCTCCAGCTGGACATCTCTGACCCCCAAGGAGTGCATCGGCACTCTCATGGATTTGGCTCAGGAGAGGTGGAAGATGCTCCCTGGCATGCCCGCTCCCTCCGCTCATTGTTCTTCCAACCACCACCACCCCTCTCCAGCTGGACATTCTGACTCCCAAGGAGTACATCGGCACTCTCATGGATTTGGCTCAGGAGAGGCGCGGAGAGTTTGTGGAGATGAAGTATGTCACCGAGTCGCGCACCACTCTGTCCTATGACACCCCTCTGGGCGAGGTATGCGCACGGGCGGACAGGCAGGCATGCATGCAGGAGGCGGTGGGGATGAAGGCACACAGACTAGGGGGGACTGGGAGAGACTAGTTGGCCAGGCAGTAGGGGGAGTGGAGGGAGGAGAGGCGGGGCGAGTTCATGGAGATGAAGTATGTGACCGAGTCGCGCACCACTCTGTCCTATGACACTCCTCTGGGCGAGGTAAGGGCACGGTGGTGGGGGTTAGAGATGCAACTAGAGCGGGGTAGAGGGGCGAGATTGTGGAAATGAAGTATGTCACTGAGTCCCACACCACGCTGTCCTATGACACTCCCCTTGGAGAGGTATGCAGAGGCACGGATTGGGGACACTAGGGGGTTGGGGACTGAGGGGGACTAGTGGGGAGTGGGGGGCAGAAGGGGGAGTGGATGAAGGAGAGGTGGGGCGAGTTCGTGGAGATGAAGTATGTCACTGAGTCGCGCACTAGAGGTATGCGGAGGAGCGCTGAGGGAGTAAAAGGCAATATGGTTGGTGGGGGGGTATGATATAGGGTTGGCGGGACAGGCAGGCTCGCAGGAAGGCAAGGGAGATGTATGGGGCATTCACACATCGCGCTGTATATGATACGCCATTGGGCGAGGTATGGGGGGTCAGTGGGTGTTAGGGGGCCACTACGTGGCTTAGACGAAGGGCTTGCATCAGGGCAGTGGAGATGAAGTATGTCACTGTATGTCACCGTATGTCACCGTATGTCACCGTATGTCACCGTATGTCACCGTATGTCACCGTATGTCACCGTATGTCACCGTATGTCACCGTATGTCACCGTATGTCACCGTATGTCACCGTATCTCACCGTATCTCACTGTATGTCACCGTATGTCATTGTATGTCACCGTATGTCACCGTATGTCACCGTATGTCACCGTATGTCACCGTATCTCACCGTATCTCACTGTATGTCACCGTATGTCATTGTATGTCACCGTATGTCATTGTATGTCACTTTATGTCACCGTATGTTACCGTATGTCACTGTATGTCACCATATGTCACCGTATGTCACCGTATGTCGCCGTATGTCACCGTATGTCACCGTATGTCACCGTATGTGACTGTATGTCACCGTATGTCACTGTATGTCACCGTATGTCACCGTATGTCACTGTATTTCACCGTATGTCATTGTATGTCACCATATGTCACCGTATGTCACCGTATGTCACTGTATGTCACCGTATGTCACCGAGTCCTGAACGCTGCTGTCCTATGATAGCCCATCGCGCACCACGTTATCCTTTGGGAAGGGAAGGGACAACTTGAGCCAATGTCACTCATTTTCACACACCTATCCTCCTGTGCCCTTCCTGTGCTGCTCCCTTGGTGCCCCATGCTGTGTTGTGGCAGGTGGTGGGGGATTTCTTTGACCAGCTGAAGTCTTGCACCAAGGGTTACGCCAGCATGGAGTATAAAGTCATCGGGTATGCTGCTTGTACTGAGTTGGTTGGATATGCTAATATGGAGTAAAAATCTCACCAAGGGCTACGCCAGCATGGAGTATAAAGTCATTGGGTATGCTCCTTGTACTGAGTCGGATGGTCATGCTAATGTTGAGTACAAAGTTACTGGGTGTGCGCCTTATTCATTATTGTCTGGGCATGTGCTTCAGATTTCTTGAGATTCGTACCAAGGGCTATGCCTGTAAGGAGGACAGAGTCAAGGTCATGGGATAGGTTACTTGCCCACAGTCCAACCCACCTGACCCCACCACACCCCACCCCACCCCACCCCACCCCCCTGCACCCCGCTCCACCGCACTTCCTCTCTCAGGTACCACAGAGGCAACCTGGTGAAGATGGACATTCATGTTACAGCTCCTACCCATACCGCCCCACCCCATCCCCACCCACCCCATCCCACCCCATCCTGCCCCACCCCATCCCACCCCACCCCGCCCCACCCCACCTCACTCCACTGCTTGTCCTGCAGGTACCGCAAGAGCAATTTGGTGAAGATGGACATTCAGCTCAATGGGGAAATCGTGGAGCCGTTGTCGGCCATTGTGCACCAGGAAAAGGTGGGTGAGAGGTTAAAATACACTCTGATTGCCATTGTGCACCAGGAAAAGGTGGGTGAAGAGGGTAATTTACACTCTGCTGACCATTGTGCACCAAGAAAAAGTGGGTGAGAGGGTATATTACCCTTAGGCAGCCATCGTGCACCAGGAAATGGTGGGTGAGAGGGTAAAATACACTGCTGGCCTTTTTGCAACAGGAAAAGGGGGTTGAGAGGGTAAAAATACACTCTGTTGGCCATCGTGTGCCTGGTGAATGAGTAGATTACGCATCAGAAGTTTTTTTTTTTTTTTTTTTTTCTAAAAGAAACAAAAATCCAAACAAAAAAAACCCTTGCTGCTGCTGGCTGCAGAGTCAAAACACTATAACCATGTTACGTTTCCCCCAACCAGGCCTACGGAGTGGGCAGAGCACTCACACAAAAGCTCAAGGAGCTCATTCCCCGACAGATGTTCAAAATCCCCATCCAGGTGCGCTCAGTGTTCAAAACCCCCATCCAGATGCGTTCAGTGTTCAAAATCCCCATCCAGGTGCGCTCAGTGTTCAAAATCCCCATCCAGGTGCGCTCAGTGTTCAAAATCCCCATCCAGGTGCGCTCAGTGTTCAAAATCCCCATCCAGGTGCGCTCAGTGTTCAAAATCCCCATCCAGGTGCGTTCAGTGTTCAAAATCCCCATCCAGGTGCGCTCAGTGTTCAAAATCCCCATCCAGGTGCGCTCAGTGTTCAAAATCCCCATCCAGGTGCGCTCAGTGTTCAAAATCCCCATCCAGGTGCGCTCAGTGTTCAAAATCCCCATCCAGGTGCGCTCAGTGTTCAAAATCCCCATCCAGGTGCGTTCAGTGTTCAAAATCCCCATCCAGGTGCGCTCAGTGTTCAAAATCCCCATCCAGGTGCGCTCAGTGTTCAAAATCCCCATCCAGGTGCGCTCAGTGTTCAAAATCCCCATCCAGGTGCGCTCAGTGTTCAAAATCCCCATCCAGGTGCGCTCAGTGTTCACTTCTCTCGCAACCCGAGTTTCATGGTATCTTTGCTCTGTCCTCGTGGCCTGTCAAGTCAAGGTGATGTCCCCTTGTGTCTGCACTGTCCCCATAACATCCCTCATGCTCCCAATCCTCAGGCATCCATGCATGTCAGGTTTTCTGCTTGTATGTGTATTGATTGTGAAGTGTGTTAGCCTGCTGCACAACTTGCTTCTTCCTGATGTTGCATTACCTCGATTATCTCTCGAGCAGGCATGTGTTGGAACCAAGGTCATCGCGAGTGAAACAATTGCAGCCATTCGGAAAGACGTTCTAGCCAAGTGCTATGGTGAGTGCATAGCTGTTCCCTGCATGTCTGTCAGTTCTTTATGTTGCGAGACATAGTTGCTTGACAGGATGGTGTGCTGGTTGCAGGTGGTGACATTTCCCGAAAGAAGAAATTGTTGAAGAAGCAAGCAGCGGGGAAGAAGAGAATGAAAGCGCTTGGACGAGTTGAGGTGCCTCAAGATGCCTTCATGGCTGTGCTTAGACTTGAGAAAGAAAGCTTGTGATAGGCATAATGTTAAAACATGTCAAAGAAACAACTTGCATACAAGCATTTTTTCTGTGCTTGCGTTGCGACTAAATTGCCAAGAAAATAACACTCTAAGAGCGTGTTCCTACGGCCTCATATCAGGAAACCTCGTATCAAGAATGCTGTTTTTGCCTGGTAACACTAGCGAGAGGTTTTGGGTTTAGGGAAATTTTCAGTATGAGCCTGATACGAGGTTATCTTGATACGAGGATAGGAACACGCTCTAACCTGTCACATATAGGAGTAGCTGTAAGGCTTTAAGGAATTTTCTCGACATTTCTTACCACAACCGTCAACATTGCGTACAGCAGCAGCCGTTGTTTGCCCGTTACTGATAACGGGGCTTCGCCAACCTCGCGCACACTGTTTCACCAAACCTCGCACTGTTGGAGCAACCGAGTCGGCCTACGCTTCGGGACTAGCCCGAACCTCGCGCCAGCAAAGCACTAGCTAGCTCGTGCATGTTGGGATGAGAAAAGCCCTTATGATCTTTTCAAGGCTAAACTCTGAGTAGAGGTGTTGTAAGTGCGAAAGCGTTTTAATGATGAAGTGTTGAACCACCTTGCGCTAGTATATGAGGGCAACATAGATTGATTATAGAAAAGTAATACAAGCTTTTTATAAGATTACAAGGAATATGAAAGTGTGCAACTAACTGTTTTACTGCTGTTGTTGCGGTTCGATACAGTGACGACTCGGGCAACTGCTCAGTATCGAGTCAGTTGTTTGTCCTTGCTGTCGCGCTGTATTTGTCAAGTCAAAGGTCGCTGACCTTTGACCTTCGCGTAACCTCCAGCAGTTACTTCTCTTGTCAACCTCCGATGGTTGACTCACCGTTGCTTCGTTGCTATTTGCTTCGTTTACAGTTCGATGTTCCGACACATCAGAAGCGTTAAGTTACTTGTTTCCAACACTCCCCTTTGCTTCTGGAGTGTCGCTGCTGGTGACGTGGCTTTGTCCAGTCAGCAGCATGCAGTACTCGAACTTCTGCTTTCCGAGCTTCTTGGTCAAATAGTCGGCTGCCATTTCGGTCGTGGGACTGTAAGATAACTCGAGTCTCCCCTTCTCGATCTCGTCTTTTACGAAGAAGTATCGCAGGGCGATATGTTTCGTCCGGTTCGCGAACCCGTTCTTGTTCGCTATGCGAATTGTAGATTCGTTGTCGCAGAACAGAGTGAAGCTGGGTAACTGAGCCAACTTCAATTCTTCCAGCAGTTCGCAAAGGTACAAGCCTTCCTTGGTGGCTGAGCAGAGTGCAATATATTCTGCTTCAGCTGAGGAGAGAGCGATTAGTTCCTGCTTGCTCGACTGCCACAAGATAGCCCCGATAGGTTCGAGTCGGTAGATGTAGCTGGTGCGTGAGCGCCTATTGTCTGCGTCGCCGGCGTGGTCGGCGTCTACATAGCCGATTAGCTTAGGTGTCGAGGTTCCGTTTTTGTGGTAGATCAGGCCGATTGTCGGAGTGCTGACGAGGTAGTGGAGTGCGCGGTCGAGTTTCGCCACGTGCTTGCTTCAGGTTTCTTGAGGTAGGTGGCGAGCTGGCTTGCCGAAAATGATAGGTCTGGTCGGCAGGTGACGGCTGGGAATAGTAGACATCCTAGCTTTCGCTGATAGTCGCGTATGCCGGCAGGCTTGAGTGGTGCGGAGATTCCTTCGTGGCTCGCGGAGGTGTAGCGGTACGGTATGGAGATAGCAGTAATCCGAAGCGTTTGGCGATGGTGTCGGCGTATTTTGCGGCGCTGAGATAGATCGCGTTCTCTTCTTCCTGTATGTTGAGCTCGAGGTATTGTGTCACGGTGGATGAGACGGTGAACATTAAGTCCCGCTGCAGCTCCCCTTCGAACCAGGTTGTGACGCCGTCGGTCGAGCCGATGTAGAGTAGATCGTCCACGTAGACGATCAACAGGATGTAGTCAGTTCCTTTCGTGAGCCGGTACATTCCTTGATCGTGCAGCAGTTGTCGGAATCCGATGCGGATTAGCCGCGCGTGTAGGTACTGCGACCACAGTCTTGGGGCCTGTTTGATGCTGTACATAGACTTCAGTAACTGACAGACTTGGTTGGGGTCTGCATTGGAGCCGTGCGGTTGCTCGACGAAGATTTCAGCATCGACGGGTGCGTAGAGAAAGGAGTTGGCGACGTCGATTTGACGATGCTTTTTCCGCTTCATGGCGTCTGCCTTTGTTTTCACCCAAAGAACCCATTTTCGGGTGAGAATGGTCTTGTTCCGTGCCACACTGATAGGTACGACCTTCGAGGTGTTGCGTTCTTCAAGTGCCTTTAACTCCCTGTCCATGGCCTCGCGCCATTTTTTCCTGTGCTCCCCCACCAGAGCCTGCTGAACTATGGAAGGCTCCTTAGGTGGCGCTGAGCCGTGGACTGCGGTGACGAGTCCGAGTATCTAGAGTCCACTTTGCGTGTAGCGGGGGAGATTTGCGTCCTCGCGATAAGCTGTTTCGTCTCCTGCTTCTGGATCAGGTATGAAATTAGGTCCTACGCGTTCTGCTTCATCGGTGTTGACTTGCGCGGGTGTAACGTAACCGTTGTCAGCGAAGTTGTAGAAGACTTCGGCGTTGATGCTTTCGTGAGGGTTGTCGTCGTCCATTGGGACATCCACCGAGCAGTAGGGAAGAGGTCCGGCTTCTTCCGAAGCTCTGTCCACGTTCTGCTCGTCCAAGTTAGCTTCATCTGCCGCCGAAGCGAAGGCTCGATCCCCAAGAAACCCGCCTGTGACATCCCGTGAGGTTTCCAAGTTGTAGAGGTACGTCGGGAGCGTGAAACATTCGTAGAAGATCACGTCACGTGCTGCTACTGTTTCCTTTATGTGGACGTCGAAGATCTTCCATGCGTTGTAGTGTTTTTCGATGCCCAGGTGTAGCCCCCACTGTGCGCGTTGGGAGAAGCGACCTGCTCGTGCAGCTGGAGGTCGTACCTGTACCATGCAGCCGAACACTCGTAACATTTTTGTGTTGCCCAATTTTCCTGTCCACAGCAGATGCGGTGATGCATTGTTCGGGAGCGATGATGACGAAAGCAAGTTGTGCAGCATGACAGCGTGGTCCATCGTCTCAGGCCACTGGTGGTTTGGTAGCCACATGCCACGTAGCAGTTTGCGCATGGTGTTTTGGAGGGTCCTGTTCATTCTTTCTGCCACGCCTTGCTGTTGGTGAGCGTAGGGAAGGGAGATGAGCCGCTTGATGCCTCTCTCTGCCAAGTACTGCGTGAACCTTTGTGACTGATATTCCCCTCCCCCGTCTGACTGAGAGCTTTTCAGCTTCACTCCTGATTCTCTTTCTGCTATTAGAAGCCAGGCAACGAAGGCTTCGTAGGCCATGTCGCGACTTGGAAGGTTAAGGTGCCATACGTATCGTGTGGCGGCGTCGATGAAAGTGATGACATAGTTGTATGCTCCTTGACCAGGTTCACAGTATGTCGCTGTACACTTTCTGCAGAGGTATGTATCCCGGCGCACTTGGGTTGTGGTGAGAGACGAAAGGCTGATGTGGTAAGTCGGCTTCAGGGCAGGTGAGGCATGTTCCTCGAACTCGTTGAAGTTCTC